ACACATGTCCCCTCTGTGCAAAGAGACTCTGAAAGTTTCAGGAAAAAAGATTCGCTCACTTTTTGTCCTGATCCATTTATATAAAAACCTGTCTGAAAATGAGCTGATCAGATTTTGGCCACTTTATGATGTCATAACGATTTGTTGGATTGTGTAACCATTAGCCAATCACCAACCAAGGTAACCCCCCCCCCACCACACCTTATCACCTGAATCTCCTCCTAGAGCACCATTGTGTTCTTTTTAACCAAATATCTCTCAGAGGGGCGTGGGGAGTGGCTCCTTATCTTCATCTAAAGTAACAGACAGAGAATCAGCACTTTTGAAACAGGGCTGAAACAGAGGGGATTATGGGATGCTACAATGATCTGTTTGGTATTTAGAGGTCGCTGATGAGATTTCATGAGGTCGTTGACGTTATACTGAGGTCGAATGGAGGGAGAGGAAGGAGGAGGAAGGGTAAAGGAGGGCGTGGAGACGAGAGGAGACCCGGAAAGGTCTCACTTGGGTGTCACGGGCGGAGACAAGACAGTCGTGAATTTTTCCTTTATACCTACACGAGACCCTTTTCACCCTGTCCCTCGTTTCACCTCGGCCCACCCTCCTCTCCCTAGCAGGGCCGACGTCTTGTCATCGGTGTCCCTCGCGGGCGAGTGGAGTAGACGTAGGGAGTCTCCAAGCAAGAGAGTCATCAACAGGGTCAGGAAACCGACCCGGGGGATCCGGAGAGCGGGTCGGCGCGGGTCCGGTGACTCTCGCCGGTCCTGGAGCCTCTTAAGTCAGGAGCTAAGTCTCTCCAAAAACCTCCAGGATTCTCGAGTCCTGTCTCAAAGGAGTGTCTCAGAGACTCGTCCTTGTCGACTCCCGGGCACTAGGTGTAGGCATCCTGAGGAGAAAATTCCTTGAGAGTGATAGAATGCTGGTACTGCGGTACATTTCCCTTGTATTTAATATCACAGGTATACATGTAAAATACAAATTTTCGAACGATAATTTCCAGGGATACCATAATGACAACAAGTAGTTATAAGGTATATCTCAGAGTCGTCCCCGCCAAGATCCCCCGTCCCCGGCCGTCACCCTGGGGGGCATTGTGACTGGCAGACTGCGGGGGACACCGGGGGATTTTTACTTTTTCAATTTTTTATACCTTTTACATACTAAATATGTGCTAACACTCACTTACTGCGCTTATCCCGCTTTGATTCCAATAAGCAGCTAAGATCAGCTGGGTATGCGTGGTCTGGGTAATCTCGCCACGTGACCTGAAAGCTCGACAGGCGATCGCGCGTTTTGTTTGTGAAGTTCCGACAACGGTAAGGTTCCTTTCTGCCTAACTTTGGATGCAAAGCTGCTCTGAATGGTGCTATTAACTTCCCACTTAATTTGATAACGATAAGACCACATTAACATCTACATTTCATCTCTACATTGACAAGTAACAGAAATTAAAACATATATTTATACTATACCACAATCACGTTGATACAAGATGATATTTGAATTCAACGTTGCGATTGTCATTCATTGTAATATTCTATATAGACTTTATTTATTCAACATGACTTTGTTTATGGTTGATTGACGATACGTAACAAAAAAACGGCGGTTAATGAAGTTATGACAGATCGACAAGTAAATAACACTGGGGGAGTCTTTAATTGACCGGGGGTCACCCGGGGGGGTCAGTTTAACCAGATCTTGGCGGTGACTCCAGAGTTATCTATGTTTGTACAGAGANTTTTTTTTCGTTTGAAGGTCACCCATTATGCAAAATCCACGTTTTCATGTCTTTTAGACATTAACATGTGTCCCCTCTGTGTAAAGAGATTCTGAAAGTTTCAGGAAAAAAGATTCGCTCACTTTTTTGTCCTGATCCATTTATATAAAAACCTGTCTGAAAATGAGCTGATCAGATTTTGGCCACTTTATGATCACGATTTTTTTTGGCTTGTGCAACTATTAGCCAATCACCAACCGAGGTAACACTTCAGACACATGTTTTGTATCTGAGACCTTTAATATATTGATGACAAACAGTATAATAGGGGACCTTTACATTTGAATTGAACAGAAATCACTCATGTTCATGTTTCAAAACAGAAATAGGTAGCTGTCCTAAACTGTTTCAAATATTACATCTGCACGGAAAATGCGAAGGAAAGTAAACAAAAAATGTTGAGAATGGGATGGATGATGAGATTTGCAGCAAAGATTGTGAGCAACAAAGATTGCAGAGGAAGGAGCTGTAGAGGAAAGAATTCATAAGAGTGAGGTGAACTTCAGGTGAGCTGTGGCTCTGCTCTGAAAGCTGATGAACTGGAGTGGAGGAAGGGGGTCATGCTGAGCAATGAAGTGGAGCTAGCACTGGCTGCTTTGTTCATGCTTCATCATGCTGTTTGGCAACCAGCTAAAGTAATAATGTCCAATCTTATTCAAACAGTATAATCCAAGATGAATGCACATTCTCACAAGATCCTAAACATCCTTCCTTGCTAATTCACGATGCAATTTGAACAAAACGGAGGCAAAATTCGATGAGAAAGATATGATATTCCGAATGATGTGTTATCATAAGACAATCCTTCAACACCACACAGTATATAATGTTTTGTGTCGACTGTCAACACAAGCTAACTCATAATGGTTGTAACGTCAAAATCAGTACAGGAACTGTTTGCAAACAGCTGCAAGTTACTGATATACAACCAAAATAAATCAGGGAGAATGAGAGGACAGGGTATTAAAGTAGAAACAGGAGGAGGCAGGGAGAAGAGAGGCAGAGACAGTGAGCTGCAGAAGGGAAGAGAGAGAATCGTTGAGGAGATAAATCCACACAGAGACAGCAGACAGATTGGAAGACAGGCAGACAGAGTAGAGTAAAAAGAGCCCTGTGATAACATTACACCCATGGACATGAACATGATGGTGAACTCTGTAGCGAGGTTTAAATCAAACTATCAAACTCACTGGTTTTGTCTTTGATGTTCACCACTCAAAGTCAGCTGGGACTGGAAGCAACATTAGCTCTTTCAATCATTTCACACACACACACACACACACACACACACACACACACACACACACACACACACACACACACACACACACACATACACTACACACACACACACACACACACACACACACACACACACACTCACTCACTATGCCCCCATCTCTTTAATGCTGGTNACCACTCAAAGTCAGCTGGGACTGGAAGCAACATTAGCTCTTTCAATCATTTCACACACACACACACACACACACACACACACATATATTTGCTAGCAGCTGTAACAAACTGAAATGAGGCAGAGAGAGATTAGGTTCTGGTTAGGTTTCATTACTACTGTATTATGCTTCAACCAGTGCATTTGTCTCTGTCAGTAGTCTTAGGTGGCTGCTTTAAAGAATAGAACACCTAATATAAGTCAGGTTTAATTTAACAAGGTGGTTTAATTAAGAACAATTACAAAATATAAGCTTCTTTCAGCAGGAAACTGCCTCGTGTTGCAACAGTAGAGATTGGTCGAAGCCACCCAAACGTATTGAAGTTTGGATTTTCTTTACAAAGCAATCAATTTTTTCCGAACAGCTCAAGGTCAGAGAAAGAAATTTGATAGATTCTCAGTGGATCAAAACATAAGATTGTGTCAGGCATATATTTGTGGCCTCTCATGCATACACGAGACACACAAACAGGGTATTTGCACACATACACACGTCTCATCATAGTCTCACTTTTAGTCGTATAAAGGTATATTAAAATCCAAGGACACACACATCCATAACTACACTAATGCCAGTGTGCTATTAAAAAATTGCTTGCTCGAGTCATTTAGACTTGCAGTGTGTTAAGATGTAAGAGTGTTTCACAAGAGCAAAGGTTTAACAGCACCTGATAAGCGCTGGGTCCAGGGTTGGTGTCCATGGAGACTTTGAATCAATGTTCTTTGGAGGAGATCAGAGCCATTTGAGGGGAGGATTTCACTCTGGGGTTGTAGTATCCAGGGCCTGGTAAACAAATACATAAATAATACATCAAATACATCACTTCATATCCATATACTTCAACAGAGGCAATAGTATTTCAAACACCGAGGTACAGTAGTTTAAAGGAAGACATAATGTGAGAGACTTCAGTGTGTGCAAGGAAACCAAATATGTACAAAAGTAAAGTTTTAAAAACAAGTTGTATATTATTTGGAGCTTATTAAAAGGTATAATCATTTTGGTTGAAGCTGAAAAGGCTATTTTGTGCACATTCTGCCCTTGGCAATGCAGAGAGGTCTACAGCAAATTAACTATAGCAGATAATGTGGACTTGCTGGTATATTTTGAATCAGCCATGGCATAATGATTATTATTATTATTATGATTCTTAAGGTATTAATGTTTTCTTCTGCCATGGTGTTTTGTCCTTGTCATATGTATCGGATATCATTTAAAGCAGTGTTTATGGACTGAGTTGCCAAGGAATGCTAGTTTTTTTTTTTCCTTGGCTGCAGCTGAATATAACTGGAACTTTCAAAGCCCAGTCTACCCAAATACTGAACCACCCTGCTTAGACATGGTGTACTGGACAGACAGCTTGATAAATCGACCAAAAGCTCTGCAGGAATTAGAAACTTGTTTTTGGAAAAGTGCCTGTGTATTGAATAATATAATGAGAAAAAACACCTGGACAGGTCCTCAGAGATGAACATTAACACATTTATACTCATGTGGATACTAACAGGCAAAGACAAAAACACCCCCCCCCCACCCACAGACACACACACACACAAACCACATTTACATTGCATTTACACTTCAACCGGAGAGACGTGATGTATGGAATAACATAGTTTATTGTTTACACGTCCCATATACAATGGAAAATGATTGCCATGATAATGCAACAGGAGAGAATGGAATGGTGTTTGGCGATTAGCCCCGGTTTGCAGGATAATCCTTCAGGAGGGAAAGAAGGGCCGCTCCGATGGAAATCCTCGGGTCTAGACACTTTGGGTAGTGGTTGATAAGTACGTGGGACCGGTCTTGGAGGAGGAAGGTTTAGCTCCGTGTCCTGGAGAGACGGGAGGGAGAGGGGTGGAGGAGGGTTGACGTGTGGTGCACCTGAAAATGGACAACTGACAGGACAAGGAAGAGAGGCATTTAAGGAATTTAACTGTGCAGGCCAATTGGCTGCTGCATGGGTGACGCCCACGCATTTTAATGGAGGGGGGAGAGAGCAATGGAGGTGACGTGTACCTGTAAGTGACTCATTGTTAGGTCTTCCTTATTGAACCTTGGCGTAAAGCTTTCATTCATTGCATTTAGCTGACGCTTTTATCCAGAAGCGACTTACAAATAAGTTGCATTTCGACCAACAAGATACAAACTTGAAGAAACACGGAATAATGATAAGTACATCAGGTTTCATAGAGCCAAAACATTCAAGTGCTACATCAACTGGGCTCGTAGATAAGCCATCCTTTATTAGTATATAAGATGCTTTGTTAGCAATTCTTTGTTAGTAATTCTATCGCTCGGAAGTGGAGTCTCGAAAGAGATGAGTTTTCAGTCTGCGCGTGGGAAGATGTGCAAAGACGTGTGCACACACACACACACGACACACACACACACACACACACCCACACAACCACAAACCAACACACACACACACACACCAACACACACAACACTACACACACAACAATCCCACTTTGCTGAAAGTAAAACAAAACTCTTTAAGAAAGCAATTTGTATTCAAAAAGGAAACATTTGGGGAAACAAACTGAATTCTAAAGAATGAAAACCGTTTGGTGCATTACAGAGTGGAAATAAAAGCTGCAGGGGGTGGTCTGGCCCCAAAATAACAACAGTGTACCATTATATTGTAAGACAGTCATTCTAGAGAGACTGCGTGGAGACGTGTGTGTGTGTGTGTGTTTGTGTGTGTGGTGTGTGTGGGCTGTGCGGTGTGTGTGTGTGGGTGTGGGTGTGTGTGTGTGTGTGTGTGTGTGTGGTTGTGTGTGTGGAGTAGTGGTGTGTGTGTGTGTGTGCGTGCCACAAAGCTGTTGAATAGTTACATTATTTAGATTACGAGAAATGTGATCTGCAGGCCTGTTCATCGAATGCAAAATGTAATATGGGAAAAAACTATTGTGTGTGCTGTGCACCCCCATTCATTCAATGATGTGTGTCCAGTAGTGGGTCTGTGTGCAGCATGCGTAGATCCATATGCTTGTTGCTGCAATATTCTTCAGTGCAGTGTGCGTGTATAAGTGTCAAGAGTGTGTGTGTGTGTGTGTGGTGTGTGGTGTGTGTGTGTGTGTGTGTGTGTGTGTGTGTGTGTGTGTGTGTGTGTTGTGTTGTGTGGTGTGTGTGTGTGTGTGTGTGTGTGTGGGTGTGTCGTGTGATGTGTGTACAAAAAAGAATCACTATATAGCAAACAAGTCCAAATTTATTTATACTGCAAATATGGATTTTTGGTTAAACGGTTTTGGAGGTGCTCATGAGGTTAGTCCCCTGGTGAAAAACGGAGGCTAGTCTCAAATAAATTTCCAGTAAGTCATGTAACTCTATCAATTTTGAAACAACAATTTTCAAAATGGGAGTGTAATTGAGGCAAATATATAGAGTTAGAAGCCCACAGAGATGGAGCTAATTGGACTTATCAATGATAGGTGAAAGCAGTGGACGCTGATACAGCATGAGACATAGATAGATAATATAGAATAGATTAGATAGATAGATAGATACGATAGATAGATAGATAGATAGACTAGATAGATAAATCATAACAATTTAAATGGCCATGCCCTGGATATCTGATACTTTAATTAATGGCACTCCATCAAATGCTGTCAAGACATGTCAGTATAAATTCACACATTGCAAAACATTTCTTATATCGGAGAAAATAACATGAATGACAGAAAAGAAAACCAAAAGGTGGATCACAGTGTCACCTGGCACTGTTTCGTAAACACTGGGAAATGTCTGGCAATGTAACACACAAACACACAGAACAAACCAAACACACACCACAGGACAAAACCAACAAGTGCGCACACACACCCCTTATTTAGGGAACTACACAACTGGACAGGTCTACAGCATAACCAGACACACACACTCATTATAAATAACAAATGACCCACTCCTTACCATCTGTTATCAGAACTCTCTTGTCAGACTTGCCACAACATCATCACTGAACACACAGTCATGCATGAATATCAGCGTACAAACAGCTAGAGGAGGGCGAGACAATCATCTACATGCCAAATGCAGAAAAAACACACACCCTCTCACACACACACACACACAACACACACACACACACACACACACACACCACACACACACACCACACACACACACACACACACACACACACACAACATACACACACACACACACACACATCTCAAGTTTAATTATGTCGCTTCAGAGCGGGGGACTATGATAGAACATATCCTCATGGTCATTTCAGATTAAATAGCCACCAATAACAGGGCCTTGTACATTTCCTCAGTCCCTATGAATTAGCTACAAATTAAAAGCTATACACAGAGCACTCTCTTTGATAGGACATGTAACATGGATCCCAGTTGTAAAAAAGTCGCAGGCACAAGGGAACTGGGTGAGCCATGTCACGCTGGTTAGAAAACTGGGGGCTTCAGCAACCGCTGCAGAGAAATCCTCAGTTACCGGAGGATTTGTCTTGGTCTGCTGCTCTCTTGGAAATAATTGATGCGAAGGTCTGAATAATAGCTGCACGAATTCACATTATCCAAAACATAGGCAGAGCTTGACCATTTACCTCAAACTGTCATTCCCACCGCGTTTTCTCCGTCTGCATTACCATAGGTGATGTCATCTTTAAGCAATGCTAACCGGACCATTAGCTTTTCATTTATATTACGCAAGTGGGTGGGAAAAGAAGGCCAGCACAAAACTGTGCACGACAATACGATCCTACCATTCACATGACAAAACAGATTCTTGTGTATTTGAGAGAAGCTG